CTCGGTAAGAAAACTTGGTGTGTGAAATGAAGCACAGGTCGTTGGAAATAAGGTTCAAAGAAGCTTCGAATTACACTATAGGTGAAAGTAGGAAAACTTATCAGGCTAACTTTATATTTCCCATACCCCCCCCCCCCCCCCCCCCCCAAGCTGAAACAATCATTTTACTACTACTCGGGCCACGACACAAAGACAAACATTGTTTCTAAATGCAAGCAAAGTACTAAACCAAGATTAAAAGATGAATCAAAAAGTTTTAAGCCAGTAAGTCGCATTATTTATACAACACAGTGCACAGGTTCGCAAACACTGACGTTACTTACACACATTGTTGAAAACACAGAAAGTTACGCAGTCTACATACTTTGCGCAGAAAACCGCATAGGATATGATGGGTGTGCTGGACTTGTAGTGAATGGCGGCAGTGGCGGCTCTCCCGTAGTATTCTGCATTAAAACTGAAGGTGTGTGGATTTGTGAGAATCCAACGTGTTTAGAAAGGCACCACCTCTGTGGCTTATGTACTAAACAGTGAATTCAGCAGACACTTGAATAACAAAAGTGCATTACTTCTCTTTTTAATTTGGAAGGAAACCCTTCATATAGAGAAGGATTTTTAACACTTTAAGATTTCATTTTCTAATGATATATATGTCAAGTATTCGATAACACTGCTTATAATAATAATTACTAACGAACATATAAAATGCTCGTCCAGAGCAGACAACGAATACTGTTGTTAATTCAAACAAGTTTCAGCTTAAGACTCCATAAAGATGAGTATACATTCCCTTCATATATGATGCACAAAATAGTTGAGTTTAGACATGAAAATGAAATGTCGTAATTTTCGAAAGCTGAAGCAGCCGCCATTGCTACTATTCCAAAAGCCCACCTAACATGTGTGATATGTGGCTCCGCGGCTAGCAAAAAGCTGCAGCCGCATAACTCGGCGAGACTGATATGCATCTTGAAGTTCCTGGTTTTTGGTTCTTGGCGGTCAACAAAACAGACACCTTTGGACGCGACGTACACAACGCAGTGGGAAAACATTAGGGTGCCATCACGCACACACACATGACGGATGCAACACCTTTCTGGGCTCACACCCATAATGCGGGGGTTACATACTCTGACGTGAACCCGCGAGAGTGCAAAGGTGTCCACCGGAATCGGGTAACAAGAGAGACGTGCACAAGTCAGCGTAGCATATAGTACATGAAGTGCTCTGTACCTGAGGGTATTCCCAGTGTATCTAAGAAGGGACAAATACGCATTATGCGAGTTTCTTTAAATGAAGGAGGTGATTGGAATATTTTTGTATAATACCATGACGGTTTAGATTCCGCTATCTGAAGTTTGGTTCAAATATGTAAATAAAACTGTGACATGTGCATAACTGAGGCCGGCTATATGATGGTATTTTGAAATATCAACTACTTTTATTTCATTTCTGTATCATTTACAATATAAGTATATTATCCTGGACATTGGTCGGATTTGTGTGAAAGCTAGCAGCTTATAGTGTATCTTTTTTATTTTACTTACTTTCTCGAAATGGGAAGTTATGACGAACAGCATGGTTTTGTGAAATAAACGTTATTTTAAACCAAGCACTTGGAGCTTTCGAAGTTGCGTTGTTATCTGTCTCCCTCTTTTCGACATTTGTTTAACTTTCATATTTTCTTCTCCATGCTAAATAAAAAAAAGAGCTTGTATAATCTAAAGAAGCTCCTAATACATATTACATTCGAAGTCTTTCCGGTAATAATTTAATTACCTTTATCATGAACATTACAGGCCACCATAGAGGTGCCTAAGTATTGGCACTGATTACCCTGAGAACTGTGAACCCTGTATCTTAATTCCAGTAGGCTACGCGCAATCGGGAACCGGTCTTCAAACAAGGTTCAGATTTAGATAATGTTAATTCATGTTGAACAATACTTTGCAAATACTCTTCATATATACGGCAGAAACACCTTCACCGCAATCAAATTGAGTGAAAGCAAAACAAAAATGTTAATGAAACCAATATTTGGAGGCATCACAATCTTTTTGAATTAGGCCCTTTAAAACTTTCGTAATTAAAAGGGCAGGCTTTCTAAAGCTGCCTATTTCAAAATTGAATTAAAGAAGAACGTGTAGCTAGATATAATGTAATTGTATGATATACGAATCTTGCCGATGTGTAATTTGCGTTTATTTAGTTGTGTTTTATAATTGGTTGTGCCTACACAATATGTACAAAAAGGTACCATAATTGTCGCCAAGAAACTGTATACCGTGTTATAACTTAAACGACGGACAAAAAGAGTTACATGAGTACAAGTGGTGTGAAGTAATATCTTTATGCACCGCTTAGGCAGCATTGTGTCGGGAAAGAGGGGTGATTAAAAAAACTATTGTGACAAGGATAGATTATGAACGCACGTTGATATTTTTAATGAATATTATAGTCAGCCAGCCCCAGGAATAAGTATAATGAACATAGCTCAGATGAGTAATATGCGACACTGAAAACCCCTTCAATGTTGTGCCGAACAAATGTAAACTAACTTTAAAAGTGATATGCGCAATATGTCACAATCTTGATATGCCTATCGAAACTTTTCGCCTATGCTTCCGGCGTACTATTTCAGTCCAGACGCTAATGCATAGTTTAGGTACGGTCATAAAAGATAATTCCCTCCTTTGAAACAACAATGAGGGCCAAGCTAGGCCAATATCAGTCCGTTCTGGTGCTTTTTCTACGAAGAGGCTATGCTTAATTAAATGTTTGAAGCATACTGCTGCCCACTAGGCTTTCCGCCTGAATCTGTGTGTGACACGGGTGTAGTTTTATGATATGTTTGACATATTCGCGTTTCAGGGCAAATTTGTTTGGTTTTTGTGGCGAAATAGCTGCGACATGACTGCTGCCGTAGGCCGAAAAAGCTAGTTTGTGTGAAAGAGTGGAATTTCCGCAGGCAGCAGCTTTTACCCGTATGCGTTTTAAAACAAGTGGCCAAACGTTTCAGGCGTGAGTAGAGCTTGTCTTCAGAAAGACGATCAAATTTCAGGACGATTTATGCAAAAGTAGTTTAGGAGGGACAAGGTTTCGTTCATTAATGACGGCTGTCTGTTTCTTGTACAACGCTCAGGTTTGCCTGTGATAGGGTTAGACACACAAGGTCGACAAACACTATACACGAATTTACAAACAAGGTTTGAGGTGTTCCTTGCAAGCCTGGATATTCACCTGCTTTGTCATATGAACACTTAGGATTTTGTACACGGTACTAATATAGTTTCAGTGCAATGTTAAGCAACAACATCGACCTATTTGGAGCGCGTAACAGAGGACAAATGACAAACTGGCCACCATTAAACACTTTTTTCTCAGGTTGTACGGTGAGACTGGTATAATAACAATGAGCGAGTCATAATTTCACCTGATAACGTTCCAAAAAGCTTTCAATGCAAACGTAACGAAGGTTACGTAGGGTTGATGATGCCGCTTTTACCACTCAGCAACGCTAAACATTTGAAGTTAGCAACATCCGTAACAATTTAGTGGCCTAACGGTAGGTTGTGGTAACATCGGCATAGAATAAAATGGTTGGTCAACAGCAAAACACACCCACGCGATAACATGGGACGTAAGACACACCATGTACAAATGGCGAACGCTAAGTCTTATGGCGGCGAGGCGCCTGAGGTTAGCGCCTTTTCGAGTTTATATGGCTGCTTCTGATGCGCGAACAAATCCACTCAGAACGGTCCACCTCGTCAGAAGCTTGAAGAGACAGATCAGCAGATGGATTGTCAGAAATCAACGACAGCAATACGGGGACTGCGACACACAGAAAAACGTCATGGCACGGGACTCGGGGCTTTGTCGGAAAGCGTACAACTACACTTTGGGCATACTAGATGTCGCTTGCCAACGCACAATTCAAAAGAAGGAGAAAAGAAGGTGCCGTGCGCCCCACGTGTCAGAGGTGAAAGTAACGCACGCACATGATTTGTACAAGAATCGCGCTTGCATAGACCTTGACAGTGGTGAACACTCATAAGCTGGCGTTTCCATAGGGATGAAAGTGCCGTGGAAGGAACAACGCGGGAGTCGGGTTGGGCGAAGCCGACGGTAGTTGAAGAAAGGGCAAACGCTACGCTCAGCAAATTCATTGCCTGCACGTCGAGTAATGGAGAGCGGAGTGTGGAACAGGAATTTTTAAAGTTGTGTGTGATTGTTCCTCATTTGCTACACATGACCCGACTTAGGAGTTTTCTTCACTATGCAAGGTTGTCAGGGATGTTGTCTTGTACGGTTCGGGTTCTTGACATGTGGAAAGAGTTGGTTTAGTGACGACGGCTGGTGGAAAGGTAGGTCTAATGTTGTCTTCTACCATGTCATCGCAATTGAATCCGACTGAGCGGTGATCGGAAGGATAAAATAGCTAAATTGCGTACATTGATAACCTTGGACGCGCTCGGGGCCCTGTCAGGTCTTCAAGTTCGATGATCGGGAACCTGATACGTTCGATTCACTTCTTAGTTTTCGATTCTTCTCCGTGCGGGTTTTAGCTAATGTACAAAAAAAGAGAAAGAAACAACAACTAATATGTGGTGTTCTTCACATTCACTAGGCGTAAACTTACATTTTTGTTATCGACATATGTTATCGTTTAATTAACATGGCATTTATTGTTCTGGAATCAGTTGTTCAGCACCTGATTTCTTAATGTTTATGTCCAAATGACGCTAAAAATTTCCTTTAGCATGTGAACTATGCTACAAGCCGTCAGCCGTATATCATGCGGCTCCTCAGAGGAACGATTTATCTGCCCAACAATCAACAAATTATATTTTTAGTCCCAACATACAAGTTCCTATTCACATTTAATGACATTCATAACTTTCCGTAATCCCGAAGGTGTACAATAGGATTTTTTTTAAGCGTGAGTAACTCAAAGTGTTCCGTCACAGTGAAATCAAACAGAGCAAACAGCAGGTGCTTTAGTTGTCTTTGAAAGTTATTTGTCTTTGTAAAGACAAAACGGTCAGCATGTTCAATGTTGTCACAGTCGATGCCACTCCTATGGGCTGTCTGGGGGTAGAGCTGAGATTCACAAGGTACTGCAGCTTTTAGCCTCGGTACAGGAGTCAGTGCAGCCATCAAACTGTTAAGTTAATAGCTTGGTAACGCTGAGGAGATAGCACAGACTTGCGTGAAGGATAAATCATTTACGGGTTTACATTGTATTGCTGGTGACAGGATGGAGTTTGCAACAAGGTTTTTTTATGGAAAGGCTGGAAGTGGGGCCTCGGCCACTCTGGGTCACATGAAGGTAGAAGACGCCCCGAATAAGATTATTTTACACAAACAACTCAAGCTCAGAACTGTCTGTTTCCTGATATACTTGTAATGGTGCTATATTCAAGTTTTGTATCCCTTTATACTTATAAGCTCTCGATATACTTCATTAAACATCTTAATTAATATATAGATTTGAAAACCCATCTTGACAATTTGGGAACAGTAAACTCCTCCACTTGCATTTTTGCAATATATAACAATTATAATAAATAAATGATAAAAAGTGTAATGGACCTACCGCGTAAGTTTTCGTTTATTTGTTGAGGCAATGCAGTAAGTGCGCTTATTGAAACCAACCTCTTACTTTTCAGTGCATATTTTTATTAACTCGGTATAAGCGAGCAGCAACTGAAAGAAATAATAATTTTAGTAGATATCCAAAAAATACTTTTTAAAGCAACATCCGTGCGTCGAAAACCCAATAAGAGAAAGTAAATATTGCAGAAATAGAGTTAAAAAAAGAAGAAACATGTTTGCGACTTTCTGTAATACTGAATTAGTGCGCAGCTCTCGAGGAGGAAAATAAGAGGGGAAGGTATGCCCGTGTGACGTCACGAGTGTGACGTCACTCGTGAACCTCGTAACGACATGCGTGACGTCACTCGTGGCCCTCGTGACATCACACGAGACATCACTCGTGAGCCTCGAGATGTCACTCGTGACCCTCGTGATGTCACACATGACTCTCGTGGTGTCACACCTGACGTCACGTGTGATTACACGCGGTTACGCCGAAGGCGACGGCGATGGCGCTCAACTCGGAAACGGGCGCCTAAGAGCTACGCTCTAAGAAAAACAAATGCCAGGTGAAGTGTTAGAGAAAAAAAAAAGGCGATGCCGGACTGATTAAGCTTAGTCAGGTCCAAACTCATATTCTTAACTTCCACTCAGCACATTACAAACCTACTTCAGGATAGCTCAGTTTCAATTTAGCTTGAAATAATCCTGTTTCAAAGTGAGCATATACGCAAATCAAGGCTGGCCAAGCTATTTAATACTATTATAACATACGTTATGACCCAATGGCCCCTCATCGGGTGAGTTATCTTAGGCTTCGCTAAGATAAACCGCACAATGAACCGGAAGCCGCCTTTTGAAGTCGGGCCAGGTATTTAAACTTCCACTGGTTTGAGCCCGCCGCCGTTCTGTTCCAGTGGCATTACCCGTCATTGGCTTAAAGAATATTCATTGAATATTATTCTCGCTATTGCTATTCTTGTACTAAATTCAGTGCTCCCTTCCATGCTGTTTGTAAGTTTACGTGTTCATAATTTATTTGTTGTACCCCTTTCCCTTTTGATCGAAGTCTTTACGACTGAGGTAAATAAATCAACAAACTAGTAGGTTATTAAATAAACAAACAACTTCATAAAGCCCAAAGGCTCGGAATTTTGCAAGACCCACTCTAAACCAGGGAACATCTTCTGCTCTCGTGTCACCAGATCAGTGCCAGCTGTGAGCAGTATCCCAACTTCCAGCCTCGCCTAAATCCCAAACCACACAGAACCGTCGCATCGGGTCCGGCATCCACCTTGCGCCAAATTTGCCGAGTAATAATACACTTCTCTCGAACTCCTGGAATCCACGAAAATGTGGCTGAGGGCGCGTGTCGGGCACCGCACGACGGGACCTGTGCGGATGGCGCCTAAGCAACAGCATTTGGACAGAACTGCGTAGTGCTGAATTTTCCACGTCGTCTACGAAAGGAGATGGTGGAAATACAGATTGAACTCGAGTGCATTGTTATCGTTCGGCTGGAACTCGTGCTTAATCAGTGAGAACATGAGACCCAGCCGTATGTTAAATCAGCACTCGAGTCTGTGCCCGCGGTCTTCTTTCTGGAACACTAGAAACACAAGAGAACAATTTGAAAAGGAAGGCTAACGATGCACTGTTTTTTCTTTTTTTTTTCCTTCTAGTTCTTGTTCAATGGCGCTTTTAGTAATCCTGCAATGTAGCAACTGGTCCGTCTTTCGATTCTGCTGCGGTCTTTTGGACTTACCATCAAAAATCAAGAATAGGAAACAGCAGCGCAAAAAGAGCAGAACAAAAGAGGATTCACACAAAAAAGACAAAGAAGGGAGTTTTTTTGTTTTTTCTTTGTCTCCCCTGTTGTCATTGTCCTTTAGCGCTGTTGCCTCCAATAGTGAATTACCAACTCGCTGAAGCCTCCATCTTAATAACCCCGCGCTCGCTTCTTGTAGGAGGCGTGGAAACTCTAGCACTACGCTCCTTGTGCTCTACGAGGTGTTGGCTTGTACACGGAAACCTTCAGGGGCGCGGCATTCACGCTATGGTCGCGTTACTAACGGTCGGTCGCGGCTGGGGCAGAAGACGACGGGTATGCCCTCGTGGCGACGGCGACCTCGAAGAAGGCGACCGCGAGGGCGGCGACCTGGACGACGGCGACCTCAAGGAGGGCGACCGAGAGGAAGGTGACCTGGGAGACCTCGGGGACGACCTCGGGGACAGGGATCTGGGCGACAGCGACCCCGGCGAGAGCGACCTTGGTGAGTGTGATCTTGGAGACGCAGGCGGCGGCACTGGCAAATGCTGAAGAGGAGGAGAGAGATCGCAGATAGGTCGGCATCGAGCTTTTTTCTTCGCATTCTCGGCGGCTCGGGATGCTGTCGTGTGTCCCCTTGTCTGTCTGCTCCCGAACCCTGGCCTGGGCGCGGGGGCACCGCGGCTCCTGACGCGAGCTATTTTCCGGAAAACAGCTGCGACTGGAAGCAGGAAAGAAAAAGAGAGAGAGAGGCACGCGCTATGCGGCTCAGCCGTCCCTCTGGGTCCGCGCGGGGGACGAACAGACAACAGAGGGGGGGAGGCCGGTCTTTGTTCTTTTGATTCGGAGTGTGGTTGCGGACGTCTGAATTCTGCTTTTGGAATGAGGGACGCGGAGGCTAGAGACTGGTTCCCAATGGGCAATCAATCCGTTTGGCAGACTCTCAATGGGACCGAAAGAGGAGCCTGGGCCCCTGCTCTTGGTCTTAGCGCATTTAATGGCCTTGACGCTGTTCTTGGTCCTAGCGCCAAACAGGAGTAGCTAAAGAGCGGCTTACAGCTTCAGCAACCCCGTGTAATGAAGAAATATTGACATAAAGATTAAGCACCTAGCTTTGCAGTCCTACGAACAGCTTGGAGAATACGACAGATAAAGAACTGGCTCAGAGTTGCGTTTTCTCTTGTTCAAGCGCACTCTCTGCAATGGTGAAGAATGGGAAATAAAAATATGGTAAAGGCTTAGCTTTACTTGAGTAAGAGGTTTTTGACTCGGCGATCATCCACGAAAGAATACTAGGATGCATAGGACAAACATCGTTGTGCACATAACCGGATATGTTAAGAATTTCATGATACTATTGTGAAACACAATGAGGGTACGGTGAAAAGAGCAGGTAAGTTTTTGCTTAAATATTTACGTTCAATGTGTGAGTGCGGTTAGACCTTAATTCCCTTACTTTAGAGCAAAGGAAACTTCGAACAATTTGCATAGGTCTTCAACGTAGCACTTACGTAAGTTCTAGCCTAGTACAACGACTATATAACTACCATAATATCTGCTTTTAGCCACCTGCCCTTACGCAAACCTCAAACCAAGCCAAGGTAGTACTTTTCTTCGGAACCACTGAGTGCTGCTTGACGATTTAGAGGCGTTCTGGGGACCAGTCAGTGAAACCTTCGTCATGTATACGGAATTCCCGCAGTAATTTAGACATGCATGAAACGATTGGGTACATACGATTACGGTTTAAGGCTAGTCTCACAAAATGAGGGGATATCGTAGCTAATGTGCTTAAATGTTAATTATGTTCTCTCTCTCCCAATACACTCTAAAAATCTCCAGATGATAAAACTGTTGGCCGAATTAGCTCGTAGTTTGCTCCATGTTAGCTTACTCCGAATACCAGGAACAATCGTGCATTGACACTCATGGCATCTTGAACAGGTAGTCCTGACACAAACCAACAGTCTGTTGTTGGTAGCTCAGAGGCGTGAGCCTGATCGTAATGGCGCTTTTTAGAGTGTAGCGTGCTTACCAAAGCCAGAGCAAGAAAACACAGGACAGCACAAAAACGAGCACAAACTACCCAACTACTAACAGCCGTTCTGCATTCCTTTGTTTGAAAGCATTCGCGAACGTAATAGTCCATTCAAAGCTTGCCACCCTTGAAGAAGCCATATTATTGACGACAATCAGGCACATTGGAAACTTTGGAAGACTTTTAGTGTACGAAGTTATCGGCTGCGTCAAAAATATTTGTCGTGCTATAAGAACATTGAAAAATCTGAAACTGTTCCTCGAAATGTCTGAGGCTGATTCTTCAGATATTTAGGCAAGAGGTGAACTGTTGTTTATGACAAAATAAATAGGTTGCATGTCGAACTAACGGAAAAATGTCATGGTGACAATATAAAAAAACACATGGGGTGCTTTCTGAACCGATATCATCCAAATGATCTCATGTTCACATTACGAAAACTTCAATTGTCTCTGTTGAAAGCTTCTCTAGGAAGGGTTTTCTGGCTTGCTTGTGTCATAAAATGATGGAATAGTGGAAGCAAGCTTTGAATGACTTTTAGGTATAACGAAGGCTTCCAAAGCAAACGCGTACATACTGTTATCATTCCCTTGCGGCAGTCTCTAGACATGTCTTACGCGCACTAAAACAGGCACCTACCATATCAGCCCGAACGAAGAAAATGGCCGTTTCTGCAGCAAACACTGCCACAAGCGCTTTTATGTCGCGAACTGTTAAGGTAGAGCGACTGAAAGATTGACCGAGTTCACACCATGCTCATTGTTTACAAGTGTAATAATTCGTCAAAACGTCATAATTTTCCTTTACTTGTGTTTTATGAAAGTAACTGGGAGTACCTTTTGGTGCAATGGCTTCGCAGGAGATACGGATGCGCGCACGTAACGGTGCTTTTATACTGTGAAATATTTTAAAGAATAATAGTATAGCTACAAATAAAAATAAAATAAACCAACCTAAAGATTACTCACACAGAAAGTAATCCTTAAACATATGAGGCAAGCTAGCAGATTTGTAATTTAAAACATTGCAAGCTTATATATTTACACCGGATTTGAAAAGAAAGTTTATTAAAATATCAAAAAGTCTATAACCATTTTTGTTAAGAAAATAAATTCCAGCTAACCCTTACTTAAAACGAAAAGGAAGAACGTTGTGTGTTACTCCACTCAATTAATTAAGTCCCACTAACAAAGCCATCGGCCGCAAACGGCAAGATGCGACGCAGTTTTCATTTGTTCATCAGGGACATCGGAGTTCGACGCAGCGCAAAAAAGGAGCCCATCAGGCAGATGCGCCACGCCGTGCTAGCGGAGCGCAGCAAAGCGCCAGCCCGGAGCCGCGAAAACGCAATTCAACGTAATTCAACGCAACCTGAACGCAATGTGAACGAAACACCCAACGCAAACGCCACACACTTCATGGCCACGCAACGCAAGAGACAAGGCCCACACACTCATGCCACGGCGAAGCAGGCAGCAGACGCAGGTGAACAGTGTAGGGGGCGGTACGTACAACACCAGAGCCAATTTGCTGCAGAAAACTCGAGGCCTGATTGGCGGCGTTGGGAATTCCTGCGGCGCCGCAGACGGCGGCCGCGGAGTACCGCCTCACGTTGGCTCTGCTTGAGCTGAAGAAGTCCACGCCCAGGTTGGGGCTCGCCTGCGAAGGGAGCAACACTACAGCATGACACCAGGCCAGCAGGGCTAAAAAAGTTACTTCAAAGATGTACCTAAGATACAGTTACAGTTCCTTACACAAAAAGGTACCTACGTAAGGAACTATGTACTCGCATAAAAAATGTTCCTAGGTACAGGTACAGTTACTTCAAATATACTTCATTTATTTTCCCCAAAGTTTTCGAATATATTGGAAGTAAAGGTTTTTGTACTGAGGATACATATAAAAACGAGTTCGATAAATTACTTTATTGGTGTCAATGCGAGAAATAAGGAAAACCGCATTAACGTGAGCCGGTGCTGACGTCGACGGGCCCAGAAGGCGTCGACCGCATTAAGTGGTATGGAACGTGGTAATATACGTATTTGAGCATTTGACTGCAGCGCACTCTCGTCTATAAACGTTGAGCCAACGCGTGCAAAGTTTAACGCAATTATATACGCATTTGACCGCAGCGCCCTCTCCTGTATAGACGTTGAGCGGCTACATGCAACGTTTCATCCATGACAGAAACCCCAGTTCTTGAGTTACTACCACATCTCAGAGCCCCCTACTCGTCCCGCAGTCGAGGCCGAGTGGTTAAGGCGATGGACCAGAAATCCATTGGGGTCTCCCTGCACAGGTTCCAATCCTGTCGACTGCGCAAACATTTTTTCTTTTTATATGAGCACGGACACCGGCCGGCCGCACGGACAGACGGACGGACAAGGCTAGACCCTAAGGAGCCTCGCCCCTAAAAGCTCTAAGAACAGCTTGACGGAACCCCTTGCTCTCTTCTAGTAGCATATACAGAAGTCAAAACAAAGCAACAGCGAAAAACACTCAGAAAACCGACATAACAAAGCAAAATAAAAAAAAAAAAATAAAACAGTTTTCAGAAATTAATTCATTCGTTTTCGCCCCACATTAGTTCAGTTCGTAATTCCTGAACTGCAAAGAAGTAATATCAATGTTATTCTTTATTAGGGTGTTCAACATAGTAGGAAGTGTGTGTTTGAGTGATTGCATAAAATAGTTGTCATGACACAGTGGCACAGTCCAATGTTCCGCCGACCGAGTTGGGTACGAAGTTGCATGCTCTTTTAGCTCCGCAAGGATTACTAAACTATCCCCATTTCTTCCATTTTCTAACTTGAAACTGATCGCGAGTCTATACTTGCACATGCTGTAAACAGGAAGTATACTATTTTTTAGGAACAGTCCCTGGGTGCTGGAGTCGTAAGAAGCATTCTCAATGAGACGTATATATATATATATATGTTGTTTTTTGTAGTAGGAGTATTTTTTGAAGATTTATGCGGGTGGTTGTGCCCCAAACAAGATAACAATAATTAAGGTTCCATTAAACATCAGGGGCAGGGCTCCGTTCACTAAAACGTCGTTCGATCAAGTCAGTGCCACCCAGGTCGTATCTAACTCAACGTTAATCACGGCACATTGTAGTGTGTCAACACTTTAAGATTTGTAGTTTCTACCATTTAAACGAAGTGAATAGAAAAGTGCCCGTAAAAAGTAACTTCGCTCAGTTACAAGCTACTGGAAAATGTACCTAAGATACATATACAGATACCGAGAAATGAAAGTACCTAGGTTTGTACCATATGTACAGCGAAAGTACCTAGATACCGATTTCTAGTTTCCTGTACCTAGGTACTTTACAACCCTGCAGGCCACGTAGCTGCGGAGTGCAAGTTCATGCCGGGACACTCGTTTGCCATTATCTAGCCATTCACAGCTCAAGAAACGTTGGGGGTACTTGGTCATTCCTTCCTGGGCTTCTTACCGGCCAATGTCGCCATCTCAGTAACTGCGGAGCAAGAATAAGATGCCGAGGGCTAGCCCCGTTCTCCTTTTTTCAGCTGTCCGTGGCCACAAAATAATTTTCTGAACAGACTCCTCTCCCCCCCCCCCCCCTCCCTCCCGTAACGTAATCACACGTTGTTGACCTCAGTTCAGCAACTGAGCCAGGCCCCACGCCAAGCGTCCTTCGACGCGTTGACCCTACACTAGGCCCAGCAAAACGCTGCCGCTGTCCTCGTGTCCAAGATATGTCGGCGATAATTGTAATTGTGATCATATCAAAATGTCTGTGCGCGGGATTTTATTATTCTGGGTGGTGTGGGCCTCTCGCTTGTAATCTTTACCATCGGCGCTTGTCCAAGGCCAGGTAGAAAAGAAGGATTGCATCATCTACGTCAACTACGGCGAGGGACAGTTCAAACAAGGGTGCTGCTGTGCTAACGTTCAACTAGGACTTGTGCCCCTTACTGACTAAATACGAGAGTCGCAGGCGGAAAGCTGACGCAGCATTCGAGTTCAATCTGCGTCTGTGTTCGATTTGACTGCGCCGACTTAGAAATGCTAGTGCACGTGCACCGCCACCCCCCCCCCCCCCTCCCCGTTTCTCCTTCCTGTTCATACGCCACTGTTTGCACTGGTGTCGCATTAGCCGCCATTTTGATCGCCTTACTACCGCTGATTGTTTGCTTTCTGTTGCAAACATTACACACCACCGTATTTCTTCTTTTCCTTTCGGTACAAATGCATGGCTTACACGTGACATCAACGCTTCATGCTGAGACTTATTCGTACATGCTCGTGTTGAGAAAAAACAATTGCGTGGAGCGTAATTAATGTATGCGGGAGAAGGTAACGCGGCCAGCAGCAAGGCCACCAGAATGGCCCTCTAATGTTAGGACATTAAAAGCGATATATGACTACCAACCCACGTTACTAGATTAGCTCAGTTACGTAACAGCCATTAGACGTTCCTTTCACGTGCAGTACGCACCTCTTCCCCTTCGACCTGCCTACCACCGTTCGATGGGCCACTATTTTGGAAAAGGCTGGTATGGTAAATGGAGTGTATTCTATGGAATACGTATGTTTAGAAACACAGCGTCTAGATGGCGTTTCGTCGTATTCTAGGAACACCCAATTTCGCAACAAGAACTTTAATGGCGTTTCAAACGACGGGTGGCGGACTGGAGGGGGTGAGGGAGGATACCCCTTCCGTTAGCGGTCCACAACTGATCTAATCTAGTAATGCTGCAACCAACGTAACACGATGACGTCTCATGCAAGCAGGTATTACGTGTCAGGAACATTAACAAAAGAAGTGTGTTGTGTTCACTCTTCTTTTTTTTCTGCGGAAAAGCGTGCGGAAGGTTGGGTTCACTTACGCTTGCCATTTTGGGCGAACTGAAGAATCCCGAAAAACGCGAGTCCTGCGTCCCGACACTGGAATGCCTGCGGATGGGGAGGCCCCCGGGGGTGTAGCTGACGGTGCCCTCGGGCGAGCAGGGGGCCACCAGGATCCGTGGGGGCTGGATCGTGTTGTCCGAGTGCCTCCGCCCTGGCAGAGTGGCCTGCACGCGCAGCAAGTTGGAATCTGGTGACGACGAAGCTGCAAGGAGAAAACGGAAACACAGTCAGACTCGGAGACGACAGCAACGGAAACTCCGTCATGCGAATACACCTTTAGTCGATGCAAAAAAAATGGCCGCAGTTTTTTTCTATAGACTACTATCATGTTTACGAACACAAGCCGTCTCTGACTTCCCAAGAGACTTGTGGTCGCTCAGTTTCTGCAGGTCCTCCATGTTTGTTCACGCCACAAACTGCAAGGACGCTTCAGTGCGACAGTGTTATTTTTGGCATCGAGGCGTCATGTGAGAAGACCAGAAAGCATGCCCAGGCACGTTCAGGACACGAGCAAGTGTCTTATCTATTCCTCGTCTTATACCACTAATAGCTGCAGCTCGCGCACGTTTCTTAGAGTTCCTGGAACATATTCATATTTTAAGATCTAAAAACATGACCTATTGGCTGGTTTCACAATACGCCCACTGCGCGTTGCCAACATACCCGTAGATGTTGCAGGGATTCTGTATATTTTGTAGACAAAGAATACGATGTTGTAGGAAAGGAAGTCGTATTCGTAGAGAGGGGTTATCCTTCACGCGTGGTTGGTGCGCGTGTAGAGGAAGTGGAGATGGGAATCAAGTGTACTCAATTTTGTCTCCTAACTCCCCGGTCGGCTTGTACCGTGTATAAATGGGGCGCTTTCGAAAGTGATGTAACGTGACCAGTTGTTCTCTGGTTTGAGATCCGCATGCGTTGTTCAATGCATACGTAAGCGCGTATACCTCATGTCTTTTGCCGAAGTTTTAGCTTCTCCTTTTCTCTCTTCTATTTCTCCTAATTTATGAGGGTTTCGGGATCAGGAGTCTTTAAGCTTAGGCAAGGTTCAGCCGAACCATGGGGAGTAGTCTCTTGTGAGCTTTCCATAACCGTTTCCAAAAAAGGTGGATAGGTACGACTGAAGTGAGCGCTAGGCGTCATCGATATTGTTCCAACTGCGCTTGGTTATTTTTACAGAATTCTTTAGAAAACCGTTACTTCGTGGAAACTTCAGGGTGGAAGTTTTGGGGTGGAACCATTGGGAAAACTTTAAAACTTCTGACGAGTCATTGTTTTAAGATTGTAAGTTATTCTCACTGAATACAATTTCTGGTGTGCCATGCCTCGGTGCATGATGTCTGTGGCGTATTTACTCTAAGATGTATTGCCTTGTAGACTAGAATACAAAGATCGTTTACACTTTTATTAAAAGTCTCTCGTTAAGAGAAATATCGGCACGGTATTGGCAAAAGTTCTTACACATCTAATTTGCATGGGATTTGACAGACAAGCCTTCACCAAAGTGTCTCATCAAAAGGTGAGAGACGAAAAAGTTTTGTATTCTTCGTGGATTTTCTGGAGTCTTTTATCAGTGGCGGGGACACTGCAGGTGACGCCATTAACGAAAGCCTGGATCTTTTTTCGAAATTACAGTTTGAAACTTCAGCGAGAGGATATCTGGACAAGACACCAGTGGCAATGAGGTCTTTGCCTGGTACATGGCTGATGTCATACGCGTACCTCAACATGCACAGTTTAATCTATTGTAGTCTTCCAAACCTTTCGCAGAAAAGATTGGGACAAGGAGAATGTGATTAGTTTCCATTATGACTTTCAATCTTGTGATGAGGTCACGAAACTTTTCACAGCTCCACACAACAGCCAACCCTCCTTTTTCAATGCGAGCCTAGCGTCTCTCAGCGTTCTTGAGCGATCTTGAGGCATAAACGACTGGACCATACCTGTCGTTGTTTTTCTTTTGTTGCAGAGCTGCTTCAATGCCATAGGATGTGGCGTCTGCCGATATCACTTTCATTTTCCTTAGGATTAAGCAAGGCAAGTATTGGGGTCGATATGAGTGCTACTTTTAAGGAGTTAAATCAATCTGCTCCTCACAGTCCCATATCCGGGCATTTCCGAGCTAAAAAGCGTCTTTAGACGATGCGGTTCTTTTGGGGTTAGGTGGGGGATGAAGTTCCTCAGGTAGTTTGTCCTTGCCGGAAAACCCTTTAGCTCACTTATGTTGGCTGATGTGTTCATTGTCCAGACCGCCACGGACTTGTCTTCGTCTTCGTCAGGCTTTACCCAGGTTTGGTCTATAATGCTACCTAGGAATATCACTCGGGTTGCCTCAAAAACGCACTTGGTGTCGCTCAGTGTGATTCCCACATGTGTGTAGCATTGCAAGACATTTGTCAGTTTTTGTTGTGTCCTTTTTTTGGAAATGTCATAGACGAGGATGTAGCCGATGTTGCATCTATGGCCCTCAATACCACTCAATAGTCGGTTCATCTTTCAGTAAAACTCTAGTGCGGACCTGAAGCCGAACGGAAGCCTTTTGAACTTGTACGATTCAAAGGCAGTGAGTGATAAATGTGTTTAGAATCTGCTACTTTGCTGCCAGCTGTAACTGCCGAAAGAAGGAGCTGATGTGGAGGTTTCAGAAAAATCTCGGGCTTCCCAGCTGCGCAAGAGCGTGATCCGTGGCAGGGAGAGAATGAAATGCTTTCTCAGTGCACTTAGTCAACGACGTTAAATCCACGCAGACCCGACAGCACCCACTTAGCTTCCGCACCACCGCCATAGCGCAACACAATTAAGTAGGTTCTTCGACGGGATTTATAACGCTAAGGTGAATCATGCTTTCAAACTCTTTTTTACCTCTTGAATTAGATGTATTGAGATCCTTCTAGTGAAGGAAAAGAAAAAAAGGCACATCGTTTAGGTACAGCCTAATCGTATGTGGCATGTTTATGCATCAAAGACCTGTGAAAACGACAGGAGCTCAGTTTTAGTATTCACTCTTTTGGAGCTTGAAATGATCACCGCATTCAGTCCCTTGACTACATCTAAGTTATCGCTGTCTCGTTTCGACAGGAGCGGAGATTAAAGGTTTTTCAGAACATAGATATCCGTGACGACATAGTTGGTCATGTAGGGTCTCAAGGTGTAAAACGCCAAGGACCTGGTCTACATAGAAGCTTTGTCGGCTTCATCAGGGCAGCTGCTCAAGTTTTTGAATATACACGTTATTAGTGATGACCGTGGCATTCCTGCTCTACCACCATTAAATGACAAAAGTACTTGTCGGAACTCCACAGTAACAATCCAGATATCATTATATCTGGCATCCAGCATCCCCCTAAAAAATGACTCCTCGTCTTTGGCTATAAGACAGCTTTGGAGCCCAAGGAATCTTTCGAAAAGTGTTTTCTTTTTTACAGTTGTGACATATCGCAGCCTTTGCTGGGCATTCCTTCCGCGCATGTAGATTCTGCCCACATCCAAGGCAGTGGCGGCTTTCGACGACATTTGTGTTTTGAGCAGGCGATCGTCTTTGCGTAGCACTTGTTCCTGAATCAGGGAATGCCCTGACTCGATTAACACTGACGAATTCAGGTCGAACGTCGGATTGATGCAATTTGGCTATTTTGGACGTGCGAGCCATAGTGGTTGCTATTTCCGGGGTCAAGTTAGCGCCTATCTGCACTTTCTTTGTATAGCTTGTGGTCATTGCCATCAACCACAATACGACCTCTGATCATTTCGTCGAGTAGAACCTCGTATTTGTAATATTGATCCAAAGCATGAAGATGAGTCAGGAAGCGCTTAAGAGGCTCGCCATCTTTCTGAATCCTTGTGTTGAATTTTTATGTCATAGATTAGGTTTCGCCGACCTCTGAAGTGATCGCCGAATGCCTAGTGGACCGCTGTGCACAGTGTCATTTGATTGGTGGTTAAGCTAGACGAGAGTAAGATATCCTGAGCTTTGTCTCCTAAGCTAAGCAACGACCTCAAAGAAGTATTAACAAACCTTGAATCAGCTACTGTCGTTAACAACTATTTTTCGTCCGTATTCACCGTAGAAGACTTACCAATACCCTGTGATCCGATCTGTACACCACTTAACATTTCTTGCGAACCTATTGTCTTTGACCGAAATGGTATCCTCAATGCAATCGAAAAACTCTCCCGCAGCTCAGCGCCTGGCGACGACAATATTTGCCCTAAACTTCTCAAAATAACAACGCACATCTCATCTTATATTCTTTGTAGACTGTTTCAGCAATCGCTTGACTCGGCGACCCTCCCGGAGGACTGGAGATTCGGGAGAGTTCTATTTATTTTTAAATCCGGAAACAAGCAGGACTACTCGAATTAGAGACCTATATCGCTGACAAGTGTGCCATGCAAAATTTTTGAACATGTCGTCTACCCTACATCATGAACTATTTGTCGGAAAAAAAATTAATATTTCCGCGCGTCAAGTAGGCAGCGCGGCCGTGGCCAAACGGTTATCGCGCTTGCCTCCCACGCGAAGAGCCAGGGTTCGATTCCCGGGAGTTACGCGTCCTTTTGTTTATTCCTGCAATTTAGTTTTCTGGTAAATTCGAGAATCGTGTTGGGCTTGTTCGAGGTCCCAATATTCTACGCGTCGAACATTCTACGCCGATTATTCCAGCAGCTCACGCATGTACATAAGGAGCCCCGCGTGGCGAGCCGGAATCAGTTTTCGCCTCAGCGTTCGATCTTGCTGCTTCGCCGCCTTGGACGCCCGCAACGCTCTGTTGTTATCTTTCTTTTCCCTTTCACTTTTTGGGCACCAGTTCGCCCGATTAAACATTCAGTTTACTCCGTTATTCGCCGCCTCATCGCTTGTCCTTCGTGACATTTTTGGTGGAGGTGCTTGGTACCGCACGTCCGTGCATCGTAGCCCTCCGAGTTCCCGCAGTACAGGTTCGAACCCTGGCTCTTCGCGTGGGAGGCAAGCGCGATAACCGTTAGGCCACGGCTGCGCTACCTACTTGCCGCGCGGCAATATGTAACAACCAACATGGTTTCAGGTCGGGATATTCGTGCGAAACCCAGCTTTTTGAGTTCGTAACCGATTTGCATAACAACTTTCACTCCTCTAAACCCAATCATGCCACCCTTATCAAATTCTCTAAAGCATTTGACACGGTTCCTCACCAACGACTTTTATACAAACTTTCTGACTTAACATCCATCCATCAATTATACTCTGAATAGCTGAATTCTTAACTAACCGTAAGCAAGCTGTTCACCTTGGGGATGCCAGATCACCAAGCCTGCCTGTACTGTCGGGCGTCCCCTAGGGCAGCGTTCTCGGTCCGCTTTTATTTCTTATATATATTAACGATCTTCCTCACCAGACAACATCATCTATTAGGCTTTTCGCGGATGATAGCGTAATTTAACGTCGCATCACTAACTCTGAAGATTTATTACTACTAAAGCAGGATCTAAATGTTCTGTCTCATTGGTGTAACACGTGGCAGATGAAGGTCAATGTAATCAAAAGCAAACTTTTAACATTCACTGGCCAGCGATCTCCTATTGTACGTAACTACACCTTACTAACACTGCCTCTCAAAAAAGTACGAAATTACAAATATTTAGGCGTAACATTTTCTGACGACCTAACTTGGAATACTCATATTGACAATATAGTGGCTAGTGCATACAGATGTCTAGGATACATAAAACGTAACCTGTACCCCACTCCCCGTTGTGTTAAACTAACTGCCTATAAGACTTTCGTCCGATCAAAATTGGACTACGCCAACTTTATTTGGTGGCCTCATCAATCATATCTCATTACTAAACTCGAATCGGTGCAAAACAAGGCCTCACGTTTTATAACAGATGACTACTCGAGAACGTCAAGCATAACTGCACTAAAATTCAACCTCGACCTAATCCCTCTATCTCAAACAACTCAACTTGCTCGTCTTGTCCTTTTTCCCAAAACTTACTATTCCTCTTCTGATTTTCGAAACACCAACTGTCACCCATCACCTCACATCTCCTTGCGTGATGACCACAGCCTAAAAATTAAACCTCTATTCGCCAGAACTAATAAATTCCAACATTCCCCACATTCTCTCGCTATTACTAACTGGAATTCCCTTCCTGAATCTATAGTACGTGAATCTAACCCTAGAAATTTTGTGAACTATGCAAGGCACACCTGAAAAGCGTTGATCTTTAACATGTTTATCTGTTAATTACTATTTCTACATGTTCTGATATCTGTCCTATTAGTTTGTAGTTTTTTTTCTTTTTGTGTTTTTTTATTATTTACCTTGTCGTCACTCTTTTGCCATCTGTATATGTATTTTGATCCCCCCTCATGTAATGCATTTCATCTGAAATGCCTTTGAGGTACAATAAACTGAACTGAATTGAACTATACAATGAGCGAGGGTGTTCCCTTGTTCGATGCTGGTTTTCCTTTGGAGTTCGCTGACAATTTAATATCTCTTAAACCTGATTCATCTGGAGAAATTTTACTTTGGATTTCTTAATTATGACGTCGCTTTCGCGGCAAAAAAAATGTGGTGGAAGCTACGTGTTGGCCACCACCCTTGCGAAATCACAAGTAAAATCGCACCATGTGGATCGGGCTTCAAACAGATAGATCCTTTGGTGCCAGTCTTCAGGCTTTGAGAAGTCAAACCCTTCCGGTGGCTGACAGGTCAGCATTGTAGTCGCCATCCTGGTTGATACTTTCGGCATTTTCAGATGGCTTAGCCTGAAGGAATCACTGGTAGCTCCTAGCTCAACAGCTTTTTTTAGCCTGCCAGGAAGCTTGAACGACGCGTGGTGGTGTGGGTAAGATCCAATTACGCTGCCACAATGTTGTGTAGGACGTTTTGGCGTCAGGCGAGGGAATCAAAACGCCCGAACAGCCAGGTTCAGGACGTGAGCGAGCGCCTCTTTTATTCCTCGTCTTCTACAACTATAGCTGCAGCCCGTGCACCGCTCTAACCCTTCTGCAAACTGCAAGGACGCTAAAGTGCTACATAAAGAACAAAATGATATTTATCGAGGTCTTTCTGCCCCGTTATTTAAAATGCATGAAGTGATAATTCGTCTTACAGAAGCAATGAAAAAATTTCCCTCCAATCTTTGGTAAACGATCCTTTAGATACGGGCATAGGGAACAACTGGTACTCGTAAGCACCTGGAGAATTGGAAATGAAGTATATGAGTTTTGCATGCAACGAAAGATTCTATGACGGGAATTGTTTGTCCTCTCATTTGACAAGGAGTTTTCGAAGACGAGGAATGAAACAACGTCTTCTTGCGAAACTTGCACAGATAGGGTCTAAGCGCGATGTCTAGTCCGATGTCTATTTCAGCCTACCTGAACTACACGTCCTGCGGACAACATCATCCATGCTGATGGATGTTCGCCTGGACTCGAGTCGAAGGGAAGGGGGACGGTGGGGATATCCCGTTGGCTGTTCCATTGTATACTGCATCTGCACTGGAAGCCTACGGGGGCAGGTAAGAGAGGCAGAGAAAAATGGGGAAGGGCACCGAGAAAACAAAGTTTGTTAGCGAAGGTAATTTTAAAGTGACTCGAAGCAATGACGGCCGTGCACCGGCCAACTTGTATTCAGGTACATCTAGTCCTTTAATATGCCTTACTTTTCAATGCAAACTTATAAAATTTGACAATCAATTTATTGTTATAATAACTCTGAGTGCAATACGATTTCGCTCATTAATTGGTTTATCAAGTTCGTAACTCTAAACAAAAATAAAACTTTATGCTCTCATTTTATCTGTCATTGAGCGACTATATTAGTTACCAATTAAAATAATATTTTGACAAGTCGTAAATGTACAGAGAGTTTATCACATGATAAAACGACAGAGTTCAGTTCAATTCGAAAACATATTTTGGCCTAAATAAAAATACATAGACTCATACTCTCGCATTTTTATTAATTCTAAGTAAAATTCCTATACATACACTTGAAGATCAGGAATTATCAATTTTCACAAAATTCGATTATTCATTTATTTCAATTGAGATAATCAAACGATGTGATATTTAGTTTGTAAAGTTAGATAAGTAGAGTTATTGTGCTTGAGAAGGATGTACAGATAAGGAAGCAATGTGTAACAAAGTAAATAAATAACAGAAGTGACGCTTTTTTACTAAGCAACATTATCAGCAAGGCGCCCCAAGATGCAAAGCGCGCTTTTCTACGAAGCATAAAACTATATAGCTTGCAGTGTACAAACCTACAGCTAAAACGATTTCGAAGGAAGTAGCTAAGCCAGTCCAAGCAGGTCTTGCCTAAAGAAAGCCATGCTAGAAGCAACTACTGCAGCGTGAAGTTCTACTGTTGTCAAAGCGCACATTGACACGTGTTTCAACAGTGTATCAACAAAGAACGGTTAGAATAGTTGCTACTTGTGTTACGTCAGCTTGTTGGTTATTTCTATAAAGACAGGTAAATATACACTACATTTCTTAACTATATTTTTAATATATAGTTTTATTATAAACCTAATCGCGACCACTCCACGATGAAAGTGAAGTAATCATCTACTGAAGTGTCATAATAAGATGTCAAAATAAAAAGAAAAATCAGCAAAACACTAGCCTGTAGTTTTTTTATGAATTGAAAAAAAAAATTGTTTTTCTAAATTATGTTTTTTACCTAATGGGAAATTCACATAGATTAGTGTACTATAATGAGCAGCTGGTCTAGCCCTGTGTTCGAATTTTTCTACACACAGACAGCCGAGGTTTTATTTCTTCATGACGAATACAAGCTTTAGGTTTCTAACCGCATTTTGTAAAGCTAAGGTGCACAAGGGTCAAGGTGTCTTACTTGTTCTAACATGCGAGGGCTTAGAAACTGTCATCATTCCCCGACATGTTTCGGGCTTTAATCATGCCTCTGCAGTGATTTGTTTGGATTCTAACAGGTTGTGCATTTAGTTTTGTGGGTTCGAATATGCAGGTTGAGTTGCAATGTGGTTAATAAAATCTAGTGGGGAAATGTATGGCTATGTGTTGGAAGTGCGTCTGGCTTAGCCGGTACCAGGGTGCAAATATAAATTGTTAGTTTTTTTTTTATTTACTTCGTCTCTTAAAACGATAACATTGTTCAGTCAACTGGAAATTGTAGCTTTGAGTATTCATTGAAATAGTCATAAAATAATATTGTCCGATTGGCCTGCTCACATGCTTTTTTTTTAGGAACACTTAATTTCGTGGTATCACCAGCGAGGGATTGAAAAAATATTTTCCGAAAAAGAATCACAATATGATGAATTTAACCCGTTTCTGGGGCAAAAGGAGGATAAAATTTTGACAGTGGTAAGAAAAGAAACAGGAACAGATGTCTTCCACCGGCTTGCCTAGCTGCGCACTGACAGTATTGTCGTTAACCACAACATGTTTTTTCTGTAACACATATTTCTAAAACGTCATTTGTTTCTCTCTATTCAGAATCCCAATATACCCGTTGCTTACGTAGGTTTAGTTAACGAGATAGAGCAAAGCTTGAAGAGGGTCTTGACGTTATCGACGAATTTGTGTTTATTTTACGCACACAGTTGCCTTAGTTCGGTAACTGTTCCGCTGAATTATTTTGGATATAGTATTCATGCAGCCACGAACAATGTGGAATAATATTATATATTTTTATGCCTGCAATTGTGTGTGGGTTTTATTAAGGGCTATATTACTCTTAATTGCACACGCATGTTTAGGCTGATGTATGTTTCACTTCTCGTGGTGTTTAGAAATTAAAATCATTATTGTGGAAAAACAAGCTGATAAAAGAAACAACGCGGTTTTCGAAAGTTCTCTCTTTAGATTATGCCGTGTTAAAACTAGCTGGATCTTCAATTAAATGATGCGGCGATAGACGTGAAAAAGAAATAGTCCTTTTTTGCACCCTGACCAGCGCTGCCAAAAGGGATTGCTAGTGGAATCCAAGAGGCGAGCGAGGCAACTACAGCGAGCAAAAAATAAATAAAAGGTTCGGGGCCAGGAGCCGAGACTGTATGCAACGTCAGCCAAGAAGCGATGCTGCTAGATTTGGGTCTTTGGGTTCGGGGGACCTAAGTTCGAGTACAAACCTATCCGGAGGGTTCACGACTCGGTGTTGAGCTTCGTCCACCGATGCTGGGCTGTTTTAGGAGAAGAGATTGCTTGCGTTGGACCCGTTTCTTACCCCCAAAACAATCTTAGACTACCCGGTGAAGCTTGTAAGAAGTAATGGTAAGACGAAGCTATCAAATGCACTTCCTGACAATAGAAAACCATAAACACTCGCATATCTTTTTAGTATGGAACATATCATTTTAGACTCTGGTCCCATTATTATCAAAGTGGCGGAGACCGTTTCTTTTTTAAGAATAAAGAAAAGAAGGTTATAACCGCTTCTAAGCAGTTTCTATTGATTATGCCTTTTGACCATTCAGAATGTTTGTACGAGACACTTCTTTCGATTTCATCAATTGAAAATCCACGCCTTTAGTCAATTCTTACATTCACCGCCTGTTTCGGCTGAAATTATTTATTTAAATGGGCGCTTTACGTCAGAATTGAGACGAGTGTATTACTCAATTTCGTCAAGCTATCGCAGCTTATAGGATTGATTTGTATTCATATTAGTGCGCTTTTAGACATAAAACAATGTGGTGAGAAATTAGACAGTCATTGTCGCCATTCAAGTGAATACGCATTCGATAAATTGTACGGGGATGTCGCGAACCTGTCAAGGTACGCGTTTGACCAAGTTCGACTTTTCAAACCATTCCGCTCGAACATTGAAAAAAAAAAGAAGAAAAGTTCGACAGAAGTTCGACAACAACGCGCATGCAAATACACTCCAAAAGACGGGAAACATCATGGAAAGAATAATTGGGTGATTTCAGATAAGATCGACCAAAGGATGGCTAGTCGACATTTTCAAATCAACTGATGTTTTTATATGTTATTGTCTAGTGTCTGGTATGAACGAATCCAAACTTAGTTTTGACTAGAAAAAATACTTGGGGACAGGAAAAATCGTAAGGCATGAGGTGGTGGACAGTTGCATTAACGCGCACTGATGGAGAGGGCCTGTTTGAGAGTGAATAACTAAAGCGATAACATTAGGAGAACTCTAATACGTTTTAGGCGCAAACTATGGGTATAGCGTGCTTGTAATATAAAGTAATCATATTTATTTAAAATTTTATTTATTTTTCTAAAAATTGACAAACATGCCTGCTCGAACGACAAATGGCAAACTTTGAAGTCTGTATCTCATGAAATAATTTAATCATTATGATATAATTTGCAGATATTATTCTACTAATATATAGCTAATATTTAAAAAATAACTAAGGTATCTGTGTGATACAATAGTTAGGATATATTTAGTCAAACATGGAAAAAAAATCAAACAAAGAAAAATTCCGATGCGAATAAAAAAAAACACCACACTCGATTTTTTTTAAATTTAGGTAACCTGTTATACTCTATTTCGGCATTCATTTCCATTAAAAACATGTTGCATCATTTTATTGAGAAAGAAGATACAACTCCCCAAAGTAGGGTCCTTTTTCAAAGCCTACACTTAGCAGTGTTTTATACAAGAACTGACTCTGAGTTCCAGTTTCATGAAACCAACACACATCTTTTATATATTTTTATTCAGATGAGGCCAATGATAACTAAAGAAATCGTTCACACACTTAAATTAAGGAGAAACTACTGTGTACAAAGAGGTATCATATTACGGACTAGTGATCCGAGAAAAGATCATGCAGCCATCGGACACTAGGAACTTTGTTTACTTTATTCTCCTGCGACACTATATGCTATTCCCTCTTCCGCTCTACCTTCATCTCTCTCTCTCTCTCTCTCATATATATCCCTGATATATATCCAGAACAAAAACATGTTCAAGCATTCCCTTTCTGCGTGGTAGTGTTCTGTGGCTAGCAAAAATCATTTCCTCGCTAAGCTCACGATTATGGCAAAATAGTTGCCGGAAACCGCAGACGACACTCCTCGCTAGTTCTGGAAAAACGGCCGATACAATCTTTTTTTCGCATTTCCCCGCTCGCTGTCAAGGACAAGGGGGTTCGCTTCAACCAGCAAAACATGGCCGCCGACGCCTGTTTACTGAGCAGTCATGCCTGTCGCCATCTCACTCGCTGGCGTCACGGGCGATAATATCAGGCACAAAGGGGCACGCCAACCGGCAGCATTATCCCCAAATACTCGAGCCTCGCGTAAATACATAGAGTGTAAACGCTGTCGCTATGTTATCGTAGTAAGACCGCCCCCCCCCCTCCCCCAACGGGGGACTGCAGTACGCGACGGCGTACTAACACAACGGCGACGATATCGACATCGCGGGCTCCGAATTTTCCCATAGTTCTACTCCACGGGCATTTCTCGAAACGCTTGATATTGTGTACGCCCGCCTGGAAGGATTTCAGGCGCGTAGTTAAGATAAGGCGGCTCTCCGCGGCAAAAGAAAGCAATTTCTCAAAAGCTTAAAAGCGGCGGCGACGCGTGTGCGGTGAACGCTTGTAGTTTTGGTGTAGACAGGGTGTGTGTGTTCTCGTTGTTGACACCAGCCGGCGATAAGGCACTGCAGGCGGTAGCTCAGTACAGCAAGGGCTAATCCGAGTGACCATCAACGTAACCCCACCGCCCACCCCTCGCGAACCGGTCGCCGACATGGCTCAGGCTGTGTCATGAACCACGTGGTAGAAGCTCGGGTGCTTTCATATCAGCGCGTGGAGGGACGACAGTGCGATTCCGGAAAGTCTTTTTCGAAGGCCGCTGACCACAATTTTTTGTCTGGAGACTTTCCCTCTTTCTTCCTTTGACGCGGATCAAGCTTTGCCGACAGCCTCAGTTGTGACCTCTCTTTTCAAATGTACGTTTGCAGTGAGTGAGCTCCTCAGCCTCGGACTTGTCACTTGTGCACCTAGTAGTTCTTTCACTTGGCAATTATATACCATCAGTTGGGGTTTAATTTCTATTATTTATGTATACATTATGAAGACCTCCTGGAGCTCCGAACGAGTGTTTTGTGCAGATTACTTTTGCAAACACAAAAAGACTATACCAAAGCAGCGGAATTTTTGAAGTGTTGGCGAGTTGGACCTAAACTCGTTGAAGCAAATTCTTCCGCCTGACTGTTCCACCAAAGTGAGTGCGACGGACTACCTGTGCTACCATTGCTTCATGCACATCACTAAGGAGATCTCGATGCGAAGCTCAGAGCAGTGCCCTGACATATTTGTGCCAGCTGAAGAAGCAATTGAAGATCTAAATCGCAGCATACTACCTACAGATGTGTCGCCGCTGAGATAACCAAGCGTCGTAAGAAGTCGGGACAGGCTTGCCTATGTCAAGAGAAAGCAGACAGAACTGGAGCAGGTTGCTGTCAAGAATATACGCTCAAGGCTACGTATTGCGTACGACAGGGACGCACCATCGGGGTCGTCCGAACCAACATGCTCCACATGCACTGAGTGGGTGGACAACTTTCGGCAGGCCTTTGAAACCGCCACCTCTCTCCGGGAACGTTGTCAACTGCTTACACTCCTGCCGTCAACACTGACGAAGAATGAGGTTCAAAAGATGATTCCACAGGCCTCAATGTACCTCATCAGTAAATCCCGAAAACTCAAGGAAAAGCATGGCGTGTGGTATGAGCCGGATCCTTACACGAGGTGCAAGGTGAGCCCTGAGAACCTGTCTGCTGCCCTAGAGTACTTCACGAAAGACGAGCTACAATGTTCGCGCCAAAGTCCCAACCAGAAGGACGTCATCTCTGTCATGCTCAACGGAGAGAAAACGTTCGTGCCAAAGCGCTTCATGACACGCTCAATACGAGAGGCCTTCCGTATATACAAAGACAAGCATCCCGATTCCGGCGTTGGGCTAACGAAATTTTATTCGTTGCGCCCTAGATGGGTCCAATGTTTTCCACACCAGGAAGTGTGCGTTTGTGTGCGCTGCGCCAATTATTATCTTTGTATTGCCGCTCTAGAGAACGTTACAGGCTCAACATTCAACACTGGTGAAATGAACTCGGCATTTCTGTGCGACCCAGCAACAGAACTGTGCCTTCAAGGAGACTGTGATCACTGCCCAAAAGGCCAGTTTCTTACACTCCAGGAACTTGATATCCCGGAGGATGAAGAGATTGTGCTTGCAACATGGGAGTCCGGCGACCTTGTGAAAAAAACTTTGGAACCTGAGACTTTCCTAAAAGTCATCCAAGTGACGGTTGGAAGTTGGGTACTTCACAACCATATCCGGCAAACGCAAGGTAAAGCGATCTACGATGAAAAACAGTGCATGCAACGCGGGAGCATTGTCTTTCATTTTGACTTTGTTGAAAACTGGACCATCGTGCTTCCTGACGAAGTGCAAGCATATCACTGGAAAAAAAAACAAGTTTCGATATTTACATGTGTAGTGACGACAAGAAAATCTACAAACAGCTTTGCCATCATCAGTGAGGACCTGTGTCACGACGCCGCTCACGCTTGCTTGGCTCTAGAAAAAGTGAAGGAGTGGGTTGAAGACAACGTTGCGGTATACTCGTACGTGACGTACGTAAGTGACGGCGCCGCCAGTCATTTCAAGAATCGCTACCAGCTTCACCAATTTGCGAAGGACGATTGCCCACAAGCCCAGTGGTTATTTTCTGCATCTGGACATGGGAAAAATGCATGTGACGGAGTTGGCGGACTCGTGAAGCACCAGGCCACGCTGAACAACCTGAGAGAACGTTCAGTAAGCGCAATTCAGACGGCCAGGACAATGGTGAGCGTTCTATCAAAGAAACTGAAAGGCGTGCATCTTGTATATCTGGACGAAAATGAGGTTGTTCGGTATCGTGAACAAAAAAAAGAAGAGTGGCTGACGGTGCGCGCCTTCCCTGGCATTCAGTCTTGGCACGCGTGGCGGCTCAGCAAGTCATCAACAGAAGGGACCTGTGACGTATATGTAGCACGGACAGTCGGATCTGCTTGGAAGCAACTTTATTAAATGGGTACAGCGAGGAAAACCTTAGCGTAAAGTGCCGAATTTGATTTCCCAAGGACTGCTCATTTTGAATGCAGGGACATCTTATTTATCACATTTTTCTTCACGGGGTATTTAACCTACTGTTTTTGTTGGTGGTTACTAATAATTTTTATCTGATCACTATAAAAAAAAATCCCAAAATGTTATCCTCGAGCAGGATAAAATATATCGGCTTGCCACGATTCATTCATACACCGAGAGCATCGAAGCTGCTCCAGTTAGGCACTATGGCATCCGTCACCTGAAATTGTTTGTAATCGTAAATATACAGCCAACCTAAATATCTTACTATTATATCTTTGTTTTTGTGTGTGGAAGTAAAGTTATTTATTTTACTCTAGATGTAAAGTATACCGGAAGGTACAACTTCACACTGCATCATCTTTTCTCAAATCATTAGTCTCTAATATGATACCACTTTGTACGCTTATGTAAAATGCTGTATATAGTTTGTCCTCCCATTTACTGTGTGACCGATCGCTCTTTTTATCAATGACCTCATCTGAATAAATGTATATAAAAGATTTGTGCAAGTTTCATGAAACTGGAACTCAGAGTCACTTCTTGTATAGGACACCGCTAAGTGTAGGCTTTGAAAAAGGACCCTACTTTGGGGAGTTGTTTCTTCTTTCACAGTGCAATGATGCAACATGTTTTTAATAGAAATGAATGCCGAAATAGAGTATAACAGGGTACCCAAATTAAAAAAAAATCGAAGGTGGTGTTTTTTTTTTTATTCGCATTGGAATTTGTCTTTGATTTTTTTTCCCATGTTTGCCTAAATATATTGTAACTATTGTGTCACTCAGATACCTTATTTATTTTTTCAATAATAGCCATATATTACTAAAATAATGTCTGCAAGTTATGTAATAATGATTAAATTATTTCATGAGATACAGATTTCCAAAGTTTGCCATTTGTCGTTCGAGCAGGCATGTTTGGCAATTTTTAGAAAACTAAATAAATTTTTAATAAATATTATTACTTTATATTACAAGCAAGTTGTACCCATAGTTTTTTTGTAGAAAGTTTTAAAATTCTCCTAATTTTATTGTTTTAATTATTCACTTTCAAACTTGCCCCCTCCATCAGTGCGCGTTATTGCAACTGTCCACCTCTCCCTGCCTTACGATTTTTCTTGTCTCCAAATTTTTTTTCTGGTCAAAACTAAGTGTGGATTCGTTTATACCAGACACTAGACAATGTCATATAAAAACATCAGTTGATTTAAAAATGTCGACCAGCCACCCTTTGGTCGATCTTATCTGAAATCACCCAATTACAAACAAGAGCTGACACCACCCGGCGGAGGAGGGTGTAGCATTTCGATAAACATCACTAATATATAACTAGCTGATATGTATACTATTATATTGTATAAAAATATAAATTTCTTCTAATTTAATGCAAGCTGTTTTATAAATAAATGTTTCTCAACCTTTTTTTTTATATGTCGCGTCACACTGTTCAAAAGGTCGAACTTGGTCAAATTTTATCAGAAGTTGGCGAAATTAGACGAATCGCGAGGTTCCAGAAACGTTCGAGACATGCCTAATGCATGAGCATAAATATAAAGCGGTCAAGGCATTTAGGAAGTTCAGCTCACATGTCTGTGGAAGGTATCGACAGCTTTTCAAGTTTGAGCTTGTTCCGCTGGCTCTTTGAAACATGTTCCAACATTTCTTGGAGCAACTCTATCAAACTTGTGAACTGAAAAAGAGAATTCAAGTAAGAAAAAAGTGTCCAAATTAGTAATGAGTTTGTTGAAAGGTAAACTTCTACATTCGCCCTGCACATTCTGTTTCACAGCTGGTTCACTATTTATATGTGTGTTTGCGTACACACGTCAAAATAAACCACCGATCGTGCTCCGAGAGGCACATCATTGTGGTTGACTTATGAATATTTAGTTTTTTAAATTTAGTATTTCTATTAGTATGAAGCCTCATTGATTAGAAATAGTTAAATATGTACGAACGGTCTCCACGTTCGAAAATCAGTTGTTTTATTATATGAATAAAGAGTAGGGCGCGCAAATGGCTGAAACGTAAAGGCTTTTCTTTAATATTATTGCATTGTTAGTTTATATTACTGTTAATTAAAATATCAACATTATTTTTTCTTGGCATTATATTATTTTAGTTCTTGAATTAGTGTCTTTATTAAATTATGAGTTTAAGTGAAACACTCGTAGCAAGCTCGAATCATGTCAAGGCATTCATGAAACGATTTCAGGTCACGCCAATAAAAGTTAAAAAAAAAATCTAAAAGTGCGTAGAGGTTTGGAATGCTTACTTGATCTAACTTTAGTGCAGGACTAACTACGACGGGGATGAGGGCTGGCATCACTTTTGTAGCTATAAGGTTTACCGTCAGGCCATAGCGCTTGTCGCTTAGCATGTGTTTGTATATCCCTGAAAAACAAAAATAGTTTTTCCGCATTACGAAGCCAGCACTTTTATACACCATTCCACAGTACAACACTCTAAGGAGCTTTGCAGCGTAGCTCGAGCATGATTGTTGCTTGAAAGGCACACACCATTGGCTACGTGAGCGGTCGAAAGTGGCGCTGTGGTCGGTCTTCCACGATTGGCCGAAGGCTGACTACGCAGTCAGCAAAGTATATTCCTCATCGACGGAAATAAGAGGAATGTAAGAACTTGAACTTTGACGTGCTGGCAGTGTTAGTTTCAGAGAGATCTGACTTTAAGCTTCCGCCATGCTCAATAAAGGCACCATCGAATTGTTGTTCGCAAGGTAATGACGTCACGAGAGGGAGCCACAGGAGGGCGCCATCAAAACATCTCGTCGCTAATGAAACAGAACTCTCAAGACGGTATCTACTAGAAGCTTGTTGGTGGAATCGTTTATAATGAATGCCAAAATTTAAAAAAAGAAAAAAGAAAAATAAAAAGAACGGCAGAGAGACCTTTCAGTTTACCTGCCTCCAGTGCGATTTTTTGAATTTTCGATACTACTTCGGTGTCATGTGAACCTCGAGTGCGCTGGCGCAGCCAGAGCGCGAAAAAAGGCAACGGACGCCTGCCGGCGGCCGGGTACCGGAAAGACACGCACTGCCGTCCCCATTCTTTCGCTAACTATAATATAGTTTTCGGCTTTTCTAATGATCTGGTCTATAGAAAAAAAAAATATTACGATAGCCGGACTTCTATTTATTGTTTTAAAATCTTGTTTACTGTTGATTGCCGCGCAACGTGGTTTTATGAATACTTGTCGAAAAGTCGCTATAACAGAAAGAGGTGCTCGCCTGTCATGAAAACGCGCGCGATAGGATTCTTTCCAATCCGTACTGAAAGATTCTGTTGACTGCTGCACTAAAAAAATGCTTAGTGATGAAACATTTTGAATAACAGCTGGCAATACGCGACCGTGCATAGAAACCTTAGGTGCAATAGATAATGATAAAGCTTCAGAAACGAAGCGTGAAATGTCAGGCAACGGTATTAAATTTCGTTTGATGTATTTGCCCTCACTGTATAAGGTATTACGGAGGGGGTGTGGGGAACTGAACGTGAGTTTCTATTGAAATGAAATATGCAGAAAATGAATAAAGAGAAAGATCAATAAAATCAGGAAAAGAGACTAATTAACGCCTTCTTAAAAATAACACTGTCAGTGATTGAGACGATGAAGGTCAAAAGGTGTTTCCATTCGAGGAATGTGCTTTGTATAAAGCTGAAAGATTTGTGGACCATTCGAACACTGCGGAAAATAATGTTCGTGGCATCTCAGATGCAGTGATGCCTTGAATGGCACAAGCCTAAATAAAAAAAAATAAAGAAACTGTTTAGTGAAGTTCTGTGCAGTCCACAGAGACGGAAGAGAGATTGCGACTGCGTAAGTTATTATTTTTTAACAATTATTAAAAAAAATTTGCTAGAAAACGATACTACGTTTAAGTTTCCCATGAGCAGGAAACACAACCCTTCCTTACTGTCTCCCTGAGACCTTCTAATACTTAGGATGGGACTGGATCGCAGCATCCAGTTATTTAGTATTAACTTAAAAGGAGTTCATTAAATACTTCTGTAAACTATGTTTACGAGTCCATGAAGCCAGACTGCATTCTATGACGCACTGGCCACGAAAATATGCTATTCAAGTGGCTGCTTTTCAGCACAAAACGTATAAAACACATTGCAGCGTTGCATAAAAATGTATTATCTAAAAAATCGCCTTGTACGTACTATGACGTAAGTAATAAAGACGCGTTGGCACGACAATTCACAAGGTGTACACTCTATAAAAACCTGGTGCACCTCCATTTCTGCAAAGCATCTATATGAGCAAATCAGTACGATCTACGGACGACGAATGGCGGTGCTACAAACATATGTAGACCTAAAATGATAAATCTGTGTCGTGACACTGAGCACGATATTTCACGTGCTTGCGGCATGACAAGTATCATAGTGCAGACTGTACATTTCGTTAGATCTAAACTTGTTTTGAGCTTCGTCGTTTGCCAAGCACCCTCCGCAGATTGTGGGTATTGGCTTTCTCAATACGTTGCGTGATAATAAATATATTGTGTTTTTTTTTCCTTAGAGTTTACATGAGTTAATGCATTCACTTCTATACAATTTGCATAGACGCCACTTACTAACGACTGGCATCAGAATAGCCGGGTCCTGGAGTTTGGCCTTGCCGAGCATCGGTAGAACTTCGTCCAGAATGTCAGTTTTTTCAAGTTTGTCGATGATTTTCTCGATGCACGTTAGAGCATTGGCCTGGACCTGATGTTCAGATACAAGTTATGGGGGAAACATCTTTAAGCAAAATTGATATGACATTGAGTTTTTTTTTAAATTATAAAGGCACAAAAATAAGCGCGTTGCCTTGTAAACAAAAACAGGCAAAATTTAAATAAAATATATATATTTTTTTTATTAAAACGAGTTTTCAGTTTTGATAATAAGTAGACAACTATCAAACAGTTGCATATACTTTTGCGTTAGTTGCTCAGAACTTCTTAGTTTAAGAGACACTGTAGAAATGAGAGATTTAATTTTACGGGTGCCTGATTTTACGTGCCAAGCAAACAAGTTGAATTTTCAGTTAATGTAAGATGTCTCATAAAAAAATAGTAAGGTGAAATTATTATGTCGCACGTCTCACAAGTGGTGTCCTGCAATCTCATTTTGGTTTAGAAAACATTCGCATTACTAGTCACCTGTTAAAAAAATTACGGTTATTAAATGGCCAGTCAAATTATGACATCTCTGCAGTACACTTTCATATTTCTGTGGTGACGAGCATTTCTCTACGGTTTTAAATTTAATATCTCAAAAACCATGAAAGCGTTTAACGTCATATCAATTAAAACTATAAAACACCTAAGGCCGTCTAGACAAAGCAACTGTATGTGAGGCAAAAACAAATATAATTAATTTTTTTTTTATGGGCAGGCACTTATGTGCAGCAGCCAGGAAACGTATTAAACACTGGTTATCCCTATCATATCAATTAAATATAGCATCATTGACTAAAGTATTGACTCAGCTATTACAGAACAGTCGTCCAGTGGACGGAATATGCTGTGACACGTACCTTCACACCCGTGTTGTTTTCAAAGACTTGCTTTGTCCTCGGCAGTACCATTTTGCGGACAGCGCTTTCTTCAAGGTAGTCGGCGATTTGCGCTATCGCGTGCATGGCAGCGCACTACATTTGACACAGAGAAAAAGATAAAGCATAGCAGCACCTGAATATCTACAAATTCATTTTTAATGTGCACTGTTTGAATATTGTAATTCGAATATTAGACACCCCGACTTAAATTTCCGGAAACATTTGTTTTCCAGTTTTTGATGTTTAGTATTTGTGTTGAATGTGCAATTTTAAGCGTTGCTTATTCGCTTCTGAATTTTGTTTAAAAATCTTATATCTTGAGTAAGATTAGAGAGTTTTCATATTATTTGTGAAGATTGTTTGGCAGAATAGTGACGCGCTTAATCACGGCATATATTCTATCTATGCATTTTCGTGGCTTGGATGTTTCAAGTGTTAGTATGACTAATATCTGCTTTCTGCCTTTGAAACAGCTTGTCTTATCCTGCAATTAGAGTACTCTGAGCGTGAAACTTTCAAATAATGAAAATATACTGAGTAACACATTTGGGTATCAAATACAAACACATATACAGTGAAGCCATATTGAAGGAAAATACATGCTAAAAGATAGTTTTCTCAGAATGATTGAGTCGCCATATTTTTTTAGGTTAGACAACATAATTAAAAGGATTTGGCTGCTTCAAGATTTTCTCACCCAGTCCCAAGGTGATTTAAATAATGGTAATAAATAAATTGCCAATTTGATGTATTCAATGAAGACGTGGTAAACTTTGCAAAAAAACAATGATGCCTTAACGTCTTAAGTACGCTTCCCAAAGTGAACCGAGATACACTTCCAAAGTGCATCTCGGTTCATGGCCTCTTAAAAATGGTTCCTAAAATCACAGAGGTTCCACATAACTTCCTTACGGGCTTACGAAGCTCACAAATGTTTCTCGACCGTCGCTGCATCTATGCAAATTGTTCCCAATTTAAGCACTTTTTTTTTTGTAAGATCTAAGCCTCTCGTCGAGGAACCGCTTTGAGCCAAACACTTCCCGTTACGTTCAATATTGCATGCAAGCTCAGTAAACTGCTTTAGTGCATCAACATCAAGACTGGGAGGTGTTTTTTAGCAATTATATCCTATCAGTCGCAGAATTTAAACGGGGGAAAAGCCCCGTCTTAGACAGTAGAATTTTCAATTCAACACGAAAAGGTGCCTTTTTGTGTATTGTTACTTAGAAATACCAAATGTTTAAAAAAATACCTTGAAAAAAGATAACGGGGAGGAAATGTGTTTGCTTAAAAATCTGAGCAGCAATTGCATGTGCACCTACGTGCAGATAACGACTCACCTGAATCTGTGGTGTTGTTGAGTCAAACGAATTGTACAGCATTGGGAGAACATCCGCCTTGATGTCCGTTTTGGGTGTCTTTTTCATCAGGACGTCTAAATTCTCCAGTAGCGTTACTGTCGCCTGAATGAGAAATGTAGCGCGGAAGGTAGTAGCACAGCTGTCGTTCAATATTATACTAGGGAAATATTGCACAAAACAAAACCGTAGAAAGCAAAGCTTGTTAATGTGTTTTGGCATGTATTTAAATATAATAAACTATGGTAACACACATTAGATAAGTGCAAGGATTCAGTAGTTTTGCCTATGGCGTCTCAACAATGCCACGCACAAAACGTTGTTCGCGGTGTCCAATACTATGCTTACAACTTTACTAAAACTCTGCGTGAAACGACTACAACGCCTAAAATGTTGTAGCTTAGCGGTCGTGAAATGTAATGCAGCGAAATAATATAATTGAACGAGTAATGTCTCTTTTGCAAAGTAAGTAACCCATGTAAGAATCGTGAAGCATCATAATTGTTCGCATAACGAGATTCAACGAGATAATTTGAAGGTCAGGCAAAAACGTCTAAAAGCCACATAATTACAAGGAAAAAAATTTGTGCCCATATTTTAGCAGAAATCTTTAATCCATTTTAAAGTAAATGGAAGGCTACACGTCGAGTAAGTCTGTTGATCCGATTTCTTGTTATATGAAAAAAAAAATCGGAAATTACCTGAACAGATTTGGGCATGCCGAAGACGCTTCTAAAGATGGGCAAGATGATGCTCTGATATTCGTCCACAGTACTCTCCTCGATGATGAAAAGAAGCGGCTGCAGGGCAGCTGCTAAGACCTCGGGAGACTGCAGCTCCATCTTCAACGACGGCAGCACATGTTGCCACCACAATTTCTGAAAGAAAAAAAAAACACTTGAGCATGAAGCTGTCGCATATAACTTTATTAGATTTCTCAGAGCATGCGTGCGCGTGTTCGTTACACTAATACTGGTTTTTATAAAAGATAAGTAGCTCTGCTAATGAAACAAGTCAACAAGTTAGGGTTGGCCTGTTTCTCGCAGTCATCGGTGTTCAGACAAAGTAATGTCCATGAACTCGCATCGCTACGACATCTGTGATCTAAGAACGTCTGCGACTTCAGTGGACTCCAGAACACGAAGATAAGCAATCGCAACTAACAATAGAGGTATCTCAGCAAATTACGAAGCCAATAGTACAATTAGATCCCAAAATGCCATGTGTGCCCGAACTACGTGGAAGTGAAACGTCATTATCATTGTCGCGGTGCACATCAAACTTTTCGGGTCTACTCGAATTCTTAACTTTGTCATTCGCTGGGAAGTTTCTACTGTTCGTCGTGATTCGTTTTCCCGTGTTATGCAGGAACGTGAACTCGCATTCCTCTTTTCTTTTTTTAGAGTGAACAGGGTGTTTCAAGAAATGAGTGTGTGTTTGTGTTGTTTTTTTCAGCAAACATAGACTATACGCATCGTCGAACGCTCATTCTTCACATAAATGTAGTTTTATCATTTCGACCCAGATGCCAAAAAAAAAAAAAATTCAGAACTAACCCTTATTGTATTCAAAAGTTATGAGTGATGTTATAAAATTTTTGAAGGAAAAATGGGCGGCCGACAAACTCTCAAACACATACTGGGTGATTTAAGGAGAGGCCAGCCTCTTTAGATCGACCGCAAAATTCGGTTTCTAACCTGTCGCGTTCCGGCTTTGTGCAGCGTTTTGCATTTTTTTGTGTAAAATTTGCAAACAGCAAACTTACCTGAAAAAAAGTAAAGAAAGAAAAAGGCTTAGCCACCGGTCTTCAAAAAATACGGCGCTGCTTCGCATGGGAGACAAGAGATGGCGCAAGCGTTCGCGATGCCAACTACCGCCAACGACCGAGCATACGTCGCCGAGAGCCGGCGTCTTTAGCAGACGATCGTTCCGACTCAAAAGCGGCGCGCGTTCCGCAGGCGGCAACAGTCGCAGAAACAAACACAGGTGCGGTAACAACAAGGAACTGCAAAGCAGACGACACCGGAACCCCGAAAAAAAAAGTCAAAATATCCCGACAAACCATTTTTTAATCGATTCTCTATCCATTCAATATGTTTTATTAGTAAGGATGATAAAATAATGCATTAGCAACTGATATCAAAAAAGCTCGCGCCGCTTTTGAGTCGAAACGATCGTCTGCTAAAGACGCCAACTCTTGGCGACGTATGCTCGTTGGTTGGCGACAGTTGGCATCGCGACCGCTTGCGGCATCTCTTGTCTCCCGTGCGAAGTGGCACCGTATTGTTTGAAGACCGGTGGCTTCGCTGCATTTTCATAGGAGTGAAGCCTTTTTCTTTCTTTAATTTTTCCTCGGGTAAGTTCGCTCTTTTAAAATTTTACAGAAAAAAAAAAGCACCATCTGTGGACAACGCTGCACAAAGTTGCAGCGCGATAAGTTAAGAAACCGAATTTTGCGGTCAATTTAAAGAGCCTGGCCGCTCCTTGAATCACCCAGTAGAGTCGACTGGCGCGCCAGTTAACGAAAACGGGCAAAAACAAGCTCGATTTTGCCATTTAAAGTTTCAGAAAATCACTCGTAACGTTCGAATAAGATAACGAATGGTTTTTAAACATTGGTATGTGGTTTGGACCGCTATCGTTACATTTGAGCGGAGAATGGACGCTCGACAATGCGTACTTTATTTTTGCAGTAAAAAAAAAAAAAAAAAAAAAACTAAATGTAACATATTTTTGAGACATGTTGGATATATCTCTATGGAGCGAGGTGCAGAGAATGAACACAACTGCTGCGTCAGGGTTCGGCTACCAGCCAAGGTCAGGGACCATAATCAACTAATCCAGGTTTTTGTTGACCGCATACGTTTAGTTATCAACTTAATCGCTAGGGGCGTCACGGTTCTATCTCTTCCCCAACACCCCAGTCTCGGATAGTGAAGATACCGCAGATAATTCGCAAACGATGGAAACGAAATATCATTCCCTGCAAATCAGAGTCGGAAAGAAGCTCGGAGCTTGAAACAAAACGGTAAACTACAGGTGACTAAATAATGGTTTATTGCCTTCTGCTAAACAACGCAACCACCCCTCCGGACGCCAACCGTGGTTCGCGCTTTAGTTGTTTAGTGAAAGGAGTGCCCGTGGAATGTTGTACACGTTACTAAGTGAAAAGAAAAAAACAAAAAAAAACAACAACAACGAAAGACTGTTCCTTGTTATTTCTGATTTTGAAACGCGTTCCCGTTACAATTTCCATCTGTGAAAAAAGAACTGATTCCTGTTACAGTTAAGACAAGATGGAAAGTATCGTTTCATAAAGGTTGCATTTTATTTTGCTGATTACCATATTTAGTTAGATACAGATAAGTTTTCTTTTTTTTTTATATATATTCTATCAAATGGGAACATACGAATTTGAACGCCGTGATGGAAGGGCACCAGGAGAAGAAAACAAGCGGAAGCAGGGTTTCATATCTTGATATATTCACCTTTAAAAATCTCAGCTTTTAATCATATAGAAGGTTGTGGTGGGCGATTCAGGCTAGCCAAATTTACTGTTTTTCCAGATATCACGAGCGTTTTACAACAACCTCACAGGCTTCAATCTAACAAAGTCCCGTATTCAAACTTAACAACAGTTGCTTCTCAATGTTGCTGTCCGCAAGGCGAGCAAATGAAGAAGAGGGTAGGGCTCTTGAAAGGTCAGTCTTGAAAACTACAAGTCCTTCTTCATAAAGGTTGGATTCGTTGTTCACTTCGAAGGTGGGGGACAAGGGGAGAATGAATAATGGTTAATTCTTGTGTATCCTTTAAATGAGCAATGTTCGGGATACAAAAGTGTGTTCGATGTTCGGTAACCTGTTATTTTGTTGCAACTGTAGGTCTCTTTGCGGAAGTTCAGTGAGGGCGGTAGTCAACCTTAGATTTCTGGGTGTATAAGAACTCGTGGAAGCAAAGAAAAAAGCTATTAAGTTACCAATGTTCAGGATACAAGGGTGTATTTCATGTTTGGTAACCTGTATTTTTGTTGTTTTTGTTGTAACTGTAGATCTTCTTGTGGAAGTTCAGTGATGGCTGTAGTCGGCTTTAGATTTATGAGTGTATAAGGATTCGTGGAAGCAAAGACGGAGTTTGAAACGTCCCTTTTTCTGTGTCTATTTTGTTCGACTAACAGTTTTGCCGAAAATAATTCATGGAGAAGGGGAACAAAGGGACAAAGGAGAAACACAATTCTCCAAACACCGGGACCTCTCCATTTCCAGTGGAGCGCTCTACCAACTATCTTTATCCATGAATTATTTTCACCATTGTTGTACAGCTCGATTGCACCATTGCTTTTAATTGCATTAAAATCATAACAGTGTTGTTTCTTGTACCGAAGTCTCGGGCACTGAAAAAAGAATTGATGTCCACAAGCTTTCCTTCACCCAACTATTACCAAGCGAGGACCATACAAAATAAACCCTAAGATAAATAACCAAAACGTTAATGAGATCCCACTCTTCGTAAATATATAGTTTTTATACTTTAAACCTTTTCGTCTTTGAAATAAAATAAAATTACCCCACTGGACAAAGGAAAGAAACGCAGTTTCTATTTCCGTTTCAGTAAAAATGTAACGCGTTCCCGTTCCAGTTCCACCGATGCAAGATGGAATGGCGACGTTCCTTCGTTCTTCCTAAAAAGAACGAGTTCCAGGAACGCCGTTCCGAACAGAACCGAACCCGTGCATGCTTTAAACTGGATCTCGTAATTCACCAAACCCCACTTTGTGGATCACAGCGATTTGGCTCGCCGAGTACCTTTTGGGGACACGGGGCACACAGACACTTTTAGAATACAAGAGACAAGCAACGCGACTGCGCAAATAGCCACATACGACGCTCGTGTGGCTATTCGGCGTGCAAGATCTCCAGACCGTGCGTTTGTTTACCTCCCAAGCCCGCCGTAATGCTTTTGTTTCCCCCAACCTCAACCAATTATGGCACGAGCTTGGCTGCTTCGTTATCGCGCGTTCCCTGGGCGTTAATTAATTTGCCATTTGATTCGTGTTCTCCTCGCTTTACGATGCGCCGGCGAACGCCTTTTGGAACACTTGCCCGCCGCATACTCCCTGAAAGCAGCACAAGAAATCCGGGAAGCGGCTTGTGCACACACTTCTTCTCTTGTGGTTTGTTTTTCGGCAGCCTTATCGGCTAATGACGCAATCTTATTGGCTTCCAATCGATAATAAGATGCTGAAAAATCACCTTCCCACCCACATTTATTCAGCCATCCTTAACTAATGTCGGATTGCTTTAACAGGAACCGTACACATTAGGGGTAATTGATAGGAATACGACCGCAACTGGATTCCGCCAAAAACTGTCATTGGCATTGACGTTTTATTATTCTCGACTGGGTTTTGAAATTACAGGTTACGGTTCGCAAGAACAAACTTCCCTAATTGCGTCACATCACGCATGTTTGTATCAATCTAAAACCTGGTTCATACAATTGGGTTTTAACCATTTGCGTGACGACTACTGGCGTTCCACAGCGACGAGTTGCGGGGACTTAGGTTATCATAAGCACCACAATGTAGCGAGCAGTCATATGCAGCTGCAACGTACTGTGTCACACACAAATGCAAATAATCCGAACCAGAATTGAGCGTACAATGCGGCGCAGAGCTAACCCTCAATCTATCCAAAACAACTATAAATGAATGGATGGATTGCCATACCGTTTGCAGAAGGTGGTATCTTGCGCCACCTAGGCTAGAAAAACGTACACTCCTATATTAAAAGTTGCTCTAAATTCCGTCTCTCGTTAAAAAATATCTAACTCACCAATGTTTCTGCAATCTCACACTTCTCTAAACCTTTCATACCAATTT